CCGAAATTGAAGACAGATCTCTAAAACTGACAAGAATCCAGACGCGGAATCATAACAATTTTGTTGTCCCTCTTACACGGCTGCCTCATGTGTAGGAAACAATTTGAACATACTGCATCGCTCACCATGCGCCGCCTGTGCATTTATCAAGATGTCTGCCATGAATCATACTGTACATCACATGTATCTGCAAGAATATACTCACTATGAACATGGTATATTACACGTCTTCACAAGTANNCCTGAGATTCCTGTGGTCCTGCTGCCTAGTATGCGTTCGTGCGGCCTGGTGTCGGCGTAGAGTAGAAGCAGAGCAGTACCTTGCTAGACTATGCCTAAAATCATGAAATTTGTGGGCTTTGGGGGGTGGGGGTAGCAAACATATATATATATGCACTGATTGAGTGGGTGCTGGATAAAACGATTGCTTGACTGATGGCTTGGTTGATTGTGTTCCGTACTGGGCGTCCCGGACCGCTCCAGCAGGGGCCATTCCGGCCAAACGAACAGCAAACATCCCGAAGAAGCCAGCTGGTCCGCTTCAGCATCTTCTCACCTGGCGCTTTTGCAGCGCTTTGTTTCCCATGCCGATGTGCATGTTTCTGCTCCCGTCCAGCCTGTAGTTGCGCCCGCAGTTGTGCCCTCAAACGTATGAGGATGATAGCATCTGACATCGCCTGGAAGCATTATACATGAACAAGCGAAACATGCTGCTTCCGAGAACGTCCAAGCCTCGGAAACCATACCTGGCACCTGCCACATGCCAAGGCTCAGTAATGCCAGTAATGTATCCAGCACGACGGTCAGTTGTGACTGCATGAGCCAAATGCCCAGTACTGCCCAGTCCAAGCCTTTCAGCAGCGAAGCGTTCCTTGTCGCAACAAGGCGACAGGCAGGCTGAAAGCTTGCAGCTCAGCAGAGAAACCACCCTATTCCTGCCCAGTTTCCAGTAAACTTCCTCTGAATCCTCCTCGCTGCACAGGTCGAGCTGTATCAACCAGCCGAAAACCACCAAGACATGCCGTCGAAGCATCCTGTCGCGAAGTGTAAAGAATCCGATAGCGGGCATACACTGCATGGCATGCGTGCTCATCGCTCGGAGACGTTGCAGCAATGTGCCAACCAAAGCATATGCCTTGCCCAAGCAGCACTGCTTATGCTTGCAAAACCCAGAAAGCTTTACCACTCCGCCTCAGTAGCATTCATGAATCAATGTGGGCCCGCACCTTGGCTGCAGCTGAGTGCAGTTGTTGCAGCTTGCCGCTGCACTTGTAGCAGAAAGCCACTGCTTCTCAGAAGTGGACGGTGCTACTATCTGCGGATTATTCGATGTACGTGCAGGCTCCGGTCCAAGCAAACTGGCTTCAGGGGAAGAGGGCAAAAACGTTCGGTGGCGAAACATGGCTGGCTTGCGAGACCCTAAGCACAGTCGTCTACATTGTTACATGAGGCTTGCCTCCAACCAGCCGCATCCGCCGTGCAAGCGGGTCGGCCTGCCAAGGCGAATCTGCACGTTCGAGTGCATCACTGCCCAAAGCTACTGAAACCCTACAAGATGCGAAACTTGGAGCAAAGGAAAGTTCTTAGCTCGCAGAGCAGCCTTGGTTGAAATTTCTGACCGGGCCTCCGCCACGGCAGCGCATGGACTCTTCATGGCGGCTCATCAACAAGAGAGCGCTGGGTCATATTCAGGGTCGTTTTCATGGAACACGGGAATATGTGTATGATTTGACGGCGCACCTTCTCTGCGCACTTCCACCATGGAATCTTGCCGGGGTCCGTTACAAACCCGAATTGACCTGCTCTTGGACAGGAGGTCTTCAATCTTCTGCTGTCAAGGCTGCTGTCATGGCTGTCACATACCGCATTCAGACAGCTTCCTGGTTGTCTTGGGAAAAAGAACGCCTTTAACATCAAAAGCCCGAGAAGCCTCACCTTTCTTGATGCAGCAGGCTCCACCAGCAATGCTTCCTCTTCCTTGAACCTTGCGTTGAAGAGAAGTGGGAACTGCAAATACCTACAGCGTCAGGCCCGAAACCCTCAAGCCGAACTCTGAGTTGCACGACCACACGACCATCTTGCAACAGCGGTGGTCGGTGCATCTTGTTTTCTCTCTTGCCCCTAATTCACACCAGCATGCCCGGGGAGTGCTCTGCCTGGTCAGGCATCAATGCATGTCGCGCGAGGAATGCAGACCGGCGATTCACCGCGCGAAGCCCCACCATGCAAATGGATCTCTGATTTCAGCTTCTATTTACATGTAGAGAGCATTCCCCCGCAGCTTGGACCCTCCGATCTGCGTGCATGAGACAGGCTCAAAACACGACTGCTACACAGCCTACACAGGTTGAACTCCACAATTCGCCGATAACGAGTCCGTCACCGCAGGCGAAGAGATATCCGTTTCCCATAACCGCAAACTCCGGAATCCATGAAACACACCCCCGCTGGCCTGCCCCCGCCGAAGTACTTTCCGAGACAGCTTCCCAGCCTCAGGATGTCCGACAGGGCGTGGTGAAATACTTGCAGACTAACCAACAAAGTTCCGAAGATTTGTGGACGGCATCTATTGCCACAGTCGGGTGTTGTTTTGGCAACAATTTTGTGCCGTTCACATGATGCACGCATCTGAGCGAAATCAATCTATCTGTCTTGCCTGCTTGCGTCAGAACATGTCAGAACATCGCAAGTTTCTCTCGTGGTCTCTGAATCTGTCATCCACACCATTTGTCGGGTTCCTCCCGTCTCCTGCACCGAAGCATACTTCTGTCATGCTCTACATGCCACCAGCATTTCGTCTGAGAGGTGACATTGCTTCTCTCAGTGTCTAGATTTGTCTTATACAGCTACTGCATCTGTTGAGGTAGCCTAAACAGTCGGACCCTGACTGTCGGACCAAGCGCAGCCACATCAGCATTAGCCGTCCACTGACCTCGCCCCTTGATTGCCACCACAGCCGAATGAGGTGTTCGTTCTGCCTACATCTCGCTTTATTCACCGTTGTCACAAAGATATGCGAAATGTTCATTTAAGCGCTTAAGCCTTTAATTTAATAATGTTCCCGGCGCTCTGGAAAGCTTCGTTGAATGCTTCAGTCTGTGTTCCTGGTTCTCTCGCGTTCCGTTGAAGGGTGTTTCTCCACGTGATTAATGTCCGCTCACAGATTCTTCTCTGGAAAACAACTTCGTGCGACCATGCGGAGCCTATCCAAGCGGAGCTCGCTGAGTGTTTGTTAACAAATCCGGGTCATGTCCATGTCGATGTAGCGACCGCAGACTCTGGGAATTCAAGCTGGACACGTCAGGTTAACGTTTGTTCCTGCTCAGTCCCGGCTGGCTGTTCGATGACCCTACAAGCCTACAAGCCGTTCTGCTCATCGAATCTGAGTGTGAAGCACAATTCATACCGAGGTCCCTGAAGGTCCCTGAAGGAGGCTTTGTGTGTCATGCCGTTCGCTCCATGCTTTCCCATTAGCCCTTTCCTTGTCCCTCGAATCGTGTTGCTTTGGGGGCCTGCATTCGCTTGTGCGCTCAGCTTGCCTCCCTCGAACACTCGGCAGAAAGAAGGAAAGCAAGAAGGAAGGCAAAAGGCTGGCACTTTGCCACAGAGGTCAAACCTCAATCTGTGCTCCCACAACCCTGCAACTTTCACAGCCCCGCCAAACTCTTCGACGTGCTATGACCAGGCGGCCGCTCCAGCCGCAAGCGAATCGTCGACTCTGGGCAGGAGCGCTGATTCACAGCAGGACAAAGGCTTTCGGTCGCTTCCGCTTCTTCCGCTTGTCTGACAGTTGGCAGCTGGGGCAGCTCGAAAAAAATTCCGGAAAATGGTGGACGCTTGCTTAAATTCATGCATCTCCGATGCCACGATCTGCAATGCTTGTGAGGGCTTGGCAGACCATGCATCACACCTCATCCAAGTCAGATTTGGAATATCCTCGGGCCCCTCAACAGCACTGCCTGCAACTGCTTCGATGTCGTTCGCCCCGGATCTGGAGAGCATGGCCTTCTGCTGCGTAGGCTGGCTGCAGCTTTGAAACTTATCAAAGCTTTTCAACCGCCCCGCGCTCGGGAGCATCCCAACCCAGAATTCCTCTGCTGAGTGGAGACTGTTATCGACGGGTCAGGGTCCATGATGTCTAGAAGCCGATGTCGGCTATTGTGAGCGAGTGAGGGGAGCGAGAGCTCAGCTGCCAGGGTGGAGAGGCGTTCCGTAACCCGAAAAGACACTTGAACTCTGCAAGCACCTCACTGAACCTTTCAGAAACCGACACAACGCGTGAGAATTGAAGCGTAGCTTCTAAGAAACACCGGATCCAAGCTCCATTCTAAACGCCTGTGCCCTGGCCCACGCGCCTCTTTCGCTGCAGCCTGGGCCCGGAGGCGCGGTATTGGAGGCCACACCCCAGCGACCTTTTACACAAACAGCAAAACTCTGGGAAGATACTAAAGGGATGCGGAGGTGAACCCCTTTTACTCATACAAAGTCTGTGGAGCTCAGCTTTCATGTGTGTGGGCTGCGACTTGGGAAAAATCCAACGACACACGGCCGCACCTCGCATGATGTTTGACACGCCTCCAGACTGAGTGTGCCCGTTGTACCCAGAGTGCCTCAGTTCGTGCGTCGAAAAATCAAAGCCTTGCACCTCCTCAACATCGGCAGCATGGGCTACAGAGATGTGAAGGCACCGCTCACTCTAGCCGCCCACCTCCGAATTCTTTCCGAGGTTTAACACTTCGAGCTGAACCCATGGACTCAAACGAGCCCACGCGTGGGCACGGCTCCGACATGCTCCGACATTAGCCTAGCTGAGCAGCAAGCACTGCACTCTTTTTTTCAAAGGCTTTTTCTCGCTACGCAGTTTCGCCAACTGGTGTCTAGGAAAACTGCACACGTGTCAGCACTCTCTAAGCGTGCGTCGAAACAAGAATGCGATGGGAAGTTCGAAAGCCGGGACGGAATGCAGATGCACCAAAAACCAACTCCCACACTCCTCTCACAAACGGAACCTGTCCGTTATGCTTTCACAGTCGCTGGGTCTCGCCAAGTAATATTATGAATATTGCACCGCTGACAGGATCACATGTCCATCGCCAAGGGGCCCATGGCATCAAGCACCTGCGCTGCGAGCGCTGCCGGCCGAAGCGGGGGCGGAACTCAACGCAACATGCCGAAGCCCGATCAGCGCTCCACGCTCCCTTTTCTCACTATCCCTTTTGACTCCCTGTGACTCCCGATGTTGTTGTTCTTCCACTGATGGCCTGCAGTGCTGCCACCCAGCGACCCAAAGGTGCGAAGAGATGAAGGGCTGCATTCTGGCAAGTGTGGTCAAGGTCCTTTCTGGCGGGCCATCCTCGATACAGTCGATACATTAACCAATGCGGGTCAACTACGCTAGGCAGGGGCTGCTCAAGCCCGGAGCATGGTCCTTGCCAAATTGCCAGGCCATGTTCCCACCGTCGTGCGGCGCCACAAGCAGCGACGAGCGCGCTCAGAGCAAAGGGGCCTCCGTTGGTCACCGATGCGTCTGCTTCGCAAGGCTTGCTTGCAAGACTTGTCATGACCTTCTCGGTTAAAGCAGACTACGTGGCTCAACCTCCTGAGCATCGCAAGGCTCCCGCTACGAGTCCCGAACAGTTGCTCTCCACGGATGGAGACCCTGAGAAACTGCACAGCACAGCGCGAGCACAGGCCGCACTCATCCATGCCAAGCACGTCGAGGCTCAGCTAAGGTGTAAGCAAGCTCGACAGCTGTCAGGTGCGGGATGAACCACCGGCATCGGGACAACTCACGTTTCTTGAAACATTGAAGCGGGACGCCGGTCAAAGAGGCACAGAGCCCTCAGCGGAGCCGAGCCGCACCGTCGCCGTCGGAGTGAGTTTTGCCCCACTCCATCGCAGACGCGCCTTGGAGTGGCAGCTCCTCAGCTGCGCGGCTGCGCGACAGCGTCCCCCGGCTCCCCTCCCCGGGCGCTCTCCTCCCCCCACCCCTCCCGTTTCTCTGTGCTCTCTGTGCTCTCTCTCTGCCGTTTTTGTTGTTGCCTTCTAAATTTTTGTCCTAGCAGAGGTCCTGGCAGGCGGAAAATGCACAGAGCCCGGGCCCTGCCTGGAGGCTCTTTGGCGACGAGGCCCAGCGCCAGGCTCCACTGCGTGGCGGAGGCACAGGAACTCACAGCTGCAGCAGAACCTCGTGCGAGGCACTTGGGGATAGTTTTTTGTCCAACGACAAAAATGGCGCCTGAACCTACGCTATGACAAGCCTGTTTGCTTTGAACAGCGCCCATATCTCCATCGAGACGCTTCTGTCTTTTGCCTTCTGCGTCAACTGCCTCTTTAACACGGGCCTCTTTTGAGGAGGGTGCTTCCTTTCCCCCCCTTCAACCCCGGCAGAGGCGAGCAGCTGAATGCATCGGTGCGTACACGCTGCTCTTTTGCAACTTCCAGGACTTGCATGGCATGCTGCCAGGCATGTCCCCGGTCACAGGCAGTGATCGAAGCCTTCGATGCACAGAGATCCACATCGCTGCACAAAGCTACAGCATGACAAATCTCTGAAAAATCAAGATACCAGCCAGGGCAGGGCAAGAGGTTACCCTGCGAGGCGTGGGCTTCCTGAATGCCGGTGTTCGGAATCCAGCCGAAGGCCCAGGGCCAACGATGAAAAAAATCTGTCACATTGATGCTTTTCTTGCCCTGGAATTCAACTTTCTCTCAAGGGGGTAGGTGCAAAGTATCCAGACCCGCACTCTTTGTTTTAAAGACAATCACTTCCCATGCATTGCGGTCACCGCGTGTTGTGCTATCTTCGTGCTGTACCTTGTTGGACCATAGATCTAAAGGCCATGTTGCAATTAAGCCAAAGTGTCCAGTCAAGCCCAGAAGCATTGCAGGTGGTGACATCCAGGATGCCAAGGCGCTCTGCATCAGCGAGCAGCTGCAGCGCGGCCTGCCACTGCGACTTTTCGGCACAAGCGCTGATCGCCGAGTTGTGTGCAGCCGCAGTTGGAAGCTCCGCGCCGCCTGCAGCTTGAAGCAGGCAGAGCCCAAGCTGCCACAATGCCCCAGCTCTGCAAGCAAGGAGGCAGGTCGACAGCAGAACGACATCGTGTTGCAAACGCCCCGTGTCTCGAGATTCTTGCACGAGGCCGAGACTTACTGGCCACAGCGAGGCTTTTGCCAGACTCCGGATGGCCGCGCTGAGCCCCACTGCGAAGCCGAAGCCTCGCCCTCCTTCGTCCCGAGCACGCAGTTGGTTTAGCAGCTGGAGCGTTGCAGCCCAGGCGTGTGCCCGAGCCGAAGATGCCAGCGCGGCAGCCAGCAGGGGCGGATCCAGCAGAGAACGCTCTTCCAGATCTCCGAAAACTTGCAATGCACGAGTCCAAGGCAGCACCGGCAGCAGGGGTGTCCAGGTGCGCTGGTCCGCTTGCAAAGCAGCTGCTTTGAGGTTTCCCAGCAGCCGCAGGGCCTGAGGCCACTTCGTGGCTCGGGCGCAAGCCGCAACCGCGCTGTTGAAGCTCACAAGATCCGGCTTGGCGGCATCGCGCAAAGCAGCGAGGGCTAGCCTCAAGCCGCTACAGTTTTGCGCACACTTTGTCGAAGGACAGTCGCACGCTCTTGCCCTTGCCTCCAGGCACTCGACCGTGATGCTGCCGCGATGTTGACATTGCTGCAGTAGGCCTGCAGAGAGCAAAGTTCTTACGACGTCGAGTAAGCGCTAGCAGCTCAAGCAGACTCTAGCCGGCGACGCCCCCAACTGAGCAAAATCTCCACACCGGTCTCACGGACCTAGTAACGATCAAGCCGCAAGAAGGGAAACTAACGAAGGCATCGTATGTATGATACGATGCGCTGCTTTCGTAGTCATACCCAAGGTCTCTCCAAGCTTGCTAAGTTTGCAAGACGCTGCGAAACCACGGGAATGGGGGGGCGAGAATTCTTGCAGTCACAATCGTTCCACTCCACGGCTTTGGGCGAGGATGACTTCCCGCCTTGAGGGGCTATGTGACTCCGGGGGACAAAGCGGACCTCGAGCGAAAGACGACTCGCACGGCGCCAACTGGCGCCTGCCATGCACGCCGAGACCGGTCGCAGTGGTCCTGACGGCTGGACCTTAGTTAGAGTGCTTTTGCCGAACACCCCTGCACTGCCTTCGATCTCCTTTGTCCATGCCATCTATGCGCTGCAGGATCCAAGTCAGGCTCGGGCCCTGCGTCTTCCACATCCAAGCGCAAGGAGCCATGCGAGTCGACCGAGGACGGGTGGCACTGTGGTCTCTTTGGAGCCCGAGTCGGCCCGGCTCATGTGAGAAGAAACCGCAGCACCGATACTGCACCACAGCAGCCGGCAAGACGTGACGGCCAAAGTCCAGTCCCCTCCTAGCATCATTTGCATTTTGCACTGTGCGATGCTTGGTTTTGCACGCCGCGCTTTCGGCACAATGAGCCCTTTGGGCTCTTCGGGCTCCAGACACCCCCTCACTGGAGCATCTCACCTCCGCACACACCTGCCACGACGCGGACATTGGGACAGAGGGACAGGCGCTCACAGGCACCATGGCGCCATCTCGCACTCCTTTCTGCCTCTCTGCTAGCTACCCGCAGAAGTGAACTCAGCAAGGCGGGCCCGTCCTGCAGTTATGACCGTTTATGACCTGTCGCCGGACCTGAGGTCCACATACACAGAGAACCGACACGGTGCTGTTGGATCTGTGAGACCCAGATCCTGGGCTTAGAAGTGTCAATGTGCTTCCAGCCAAGCTTGCACTTCCAACCCGGTTTCCGCAGTTTGCACTGCGCCGCAAACCAACACGTGCAAGGATTTCTGCATGCGACCCAGCAACACTGTGATCTTTGATTTCTGCAACAACGCCATGTACTGCAGCAACTCTGCGAAATAGATCCTTTGAGACATAGAGGCTCGCTCTCTCTCTCTCTCTCTCTCAGTCGCGCAGAGCAAGTCCACAAGTGAGACCACTCGTCAGCAGCCCTGTCAGCTGTTTAACGAACTAACGCTAAACCGGCCCAAGTTTTCCTATCCTGTGCTAAGGGGCAAAGGGTGCGCCAAAGATCTGTATTACCAAAGAATCTTGAGTGAAGATCGGCCACCTCTTTCTCTGTGGGATGGTGGTAGATAGCATGATTTAGATTGTAGGGACGAGGTACTGAGGAATTAGTGGTGATAAGAGAATGGCGTTGATACGCCTGGGTCATGGTGAGTTCCGACCAATGGAGGCGAGGGTGGCCAGGTCTCTTTCTGTGTAAACGTCGATATGCGTGCGCCGTCTGGAAAGTGCTAAGATGTTCAATAGATGCATGATGTCTCAGGATATGGCCTAAATATTCAATACGTGAAGCGATAATTTTTTGGGAAGGTGAAAGTAGCTTCGGGGCATATTCATAGGCGAGCTGGGCCAGGTACTCATTGGAGCATTCCGCGTTGGATGGTTCAAGTACTTTGTGATAAAAGGAACTCTTCAGGTTAAAAATTTGGCGAAGTACTTTGAAGTGAAGCTTGTTGAGTTTAGTAAGGTGGGCCTGGGAGTACATCTGTGATTCTGAACCGTACAACAGGATTGCGAGCACAATCTGGGAATGGACTAAAAGTTTTCTGGGCACCGATATGGATGGGTGCTTGAAAAAGTCATGTAGACATTTAGCCGCATGGGCTGCCTGCGCATAGCGTTTTTTCACATCCGCCTTGGCGGAAGAATTATACGTAAGGACCGAACCTAAATAATCCGCGTGAGGAGTAGGCTCAACCTTAAGTTCCTTAGGTAGGAACGGGTCTGGGCGGGCTTGGCAAAAACCACATTGGCAGGGATATTCCTCACAGTTCGTAAGATAAACCGGGTCTGAAGAATTGATCGCTAAGAGCTGACACTTATCGTGGTTTAAGGACATTCCGCGGGAGGCGGCGTGATATTGCAATGTATGTAAAAATCTATGTAGCGATAGACGCGTTCGAGAAAGGAGCACCGTGTCGTCGGCATATTCTATATCGGTGAGTTTGAATTCCGAGGTTAAGACTGATGGTCGAGGCCCATATTCGAGCGTGTAAGCTTCGTAGGTATCATGGAACAGAACCGACAACGTGATGACAAAGAGATAAGGGGATAAAGGGCAACCCTGTCGAATACCCTGTAAGAATTTTTTTGTTTTCGAGGAGAAGCTGGATTCTTTGACAACGAAGTGACAGTCTTGGTAAATGGATAAAATTGCTGATGCAAAGGAAGCGGGAATGCCGATTCTAGACAAAGCGTTTTGTAAAGCGTCATGAGAAACTGAATCGAATGCCTGAGACCAGTCCAGAAATAAAGTGTAGAAGGATTCCTGATGTCGCTCATGTAATTCGAGGAGACGTCGTAGCACAAACAACGGGGTAGAGGTAGATTTGCCAGCCCGGAAGCCGAACTGGACCGGTGAAATACGGTCATCGATCGCCGTTTTAAGGCGGTGGTGGAGGAGGGATGCGTATATCTTGTAAACTGTATTGATAAGGAATATCGGCCTGTAACTGGTGGGGAGCGTACGATCTTTCTTTTTGCCTTTAAAAATCATAACAATATCTGCTGTTTTCCAAGAGGACGGGGCTGAAGCTTCGGAAAGCGCTTTATTAAAATGTGCAAGCAGCGCGCGGTGTACGCTGCGGGGGGCATACTTCCAGATTTCAGCTGGGAGACGGTCAGGGCCAGGCGCTTTACGATTCTTAAGGCGCGACAACGCCATCATAAGTTCTTGTTCCGTAAATGGGTCAATGTTCACTTTGGCTGGTGGGAAAATGGGGGCAGTGGGTAGGGCGGGCAAAATACGATGATTCCAGACATGCTTCTCCAAGTGTGTTGCCAGAACTTCCGGTTTGTTAGCTTTGGTGGACATTTGGCCGTTAGGCTTCTTAATGCCTTGCGTACGCGGTACATAGTCCTTGCGAAGATATTTAAGTGTGGACCATTGCTTAGAGGGTGGACCAGTGCTGTCCTGAAGGAGCTGGTTACATAGGTGTTGTTTCTTATCTTTACGTGCTCGTTTTTTAACTGCCTTCCGGAGTTTGGATAGTAGGTCCTGATCGTCAGGGGATGTCGATGCAATGCGGTCTATGAGCCTTTTGGTAGGCTCTGTGAGATATTCCTTTTTATATTGTTGCTCATATTGAGTGCTAGGCGCAGCCTGTAAGGCTGACTTGGTAAGCGTAGCAGATTGCTCCTCTAGGGTTAACGAATTGAAAGATGGGGGGGATTGATTTTTATAGTATCGCTCAAGGGAAAGCGGGTTGGGGATGAGTGTCGTCCTATATTGGAGGCGTGGGTGACGCCTCTTTTGGCTAGGATGTCCGCGCGTTCGTTGCCTTCTTTTCCAGAGTGACCTTTTATTTTCAGAAGAGAAATAGAAAGTCGAGGAAGAAGGTGGTCGATGAGAGTACGGATTTGGGTCAAGAGATAATGGTGCATTTGGGGTATTCATAGGCCATGTACAAAATCATAGGCCAGCTGAGAATCCGTATAAAGGTTAAGAGCATCGATGTTATATTGGGTCTTGTGGCGTGCTACGAAATCAAGGGCCTCTAGCAGGGCTTGTAGCTCTGCTGTGTTGTTGGAGCCGGGGATAGGAACTGTAAGATTTTGGGCCACTGGCCCCCAGGCGTCGATCCAATTAGGGGGTTGGTGGAGCGCGAAGCCCCATCCTGCTGGGTTACCTACACATACTTGATATTGGTTAGGACATGAGCCATCAGTGTACGCATCCGTAGCGTTAGGTATGGGCTCAAAGCCCAGTACATGTGTGGGGCATCCCGCTAGCTGGGAAAACGTTTCGGCGAAGTTTTGTTTGAAGGACAGCTGGTCCTGCTTGGTACGGGGAGGAGTGATTTTTGGCGGCGGTTTTCGCGGGGGTTTTGTGAAACGATCAAAATGCATTCTAAAGGAAAGTGGGAAGTGTCTGTGAAACCAAGGTAAAGTCCAGGTAGATTGGGTTGAGGAGGAGGTGAAATTATGTAATGAATTGAGTGGGGCAAGAATGTGGTCCAGACACGCAAAATCTTTGTTGGTGGGTTGTGTTGGAGAGGCCTCGCATGAGGAGGCGATTTCTCGATAAGAAACATTTTTCGAAGCGGGTCTGGTCTGAAATGTAGACGCAAGAAGAAAATCGTTGTGAATCATAAAGTCAAGGAGTTTGAAATAATTGGTGGTATGGGTATCATCTTGTGGGCTGCCGCTCAGGAAAACTGCCTTCCCAATGTGAGTAGCAAACTCATCCAGATCATCTGGAACAATTCCAGAGAGCAATAGTTTGCCTCCCTGAACGCAGCGTTCATCGGAGGAGGTGGATTTGGTTTCCTGGAGAGCAAGAACATCAATTTTATGTTTGGTGACAAAATGTGCCAGGCTTTCTTGTTTGCCGTGACCGATAAGGGTCTCGATGTTAAAAGTAACGATATGGAGTCTATTTCCTGTTGGGCGCCACTGTAGCAAACGCGGCGGCAAGTCGAGCATAGACTGCTGAACATAAGCTTTGAAAAGGTGGGCGCGCGATCCTGTTGTGGGCGGCGCGTTTTTGCCATAGGCTCTTTGAATTTGTGGCGGGCTGTTCGTTACCCTTTTCGGAGGGAGCCGGGGGTGGACTAGGGTAAATTTTCCACTCTCCAGCGAGTCTTGGATCCACCTACGGTATTGGCGTCTCGATTCCGATCGTTGGGCTTGAAATTTGGATTGTCGCAACAATAATGGTTTGGCGGTTTGCGCCGTTGTGCAGTCCAAAAAAGTTGCGAAATAGATGTTTAGGTTGGCAGTGGTCCCCCGGCGTGCCGCTGGCGGCTCTCGCAGCACAGTAATGGCGATAGAGGTTGCGTGCTTTACTACCATAGTACACTGAATAATGTCTGATGCCTCTTCTGTAGTACCACAACGATAAATGAGCTGCGCAATGATGCGCTTTATGAATTGCCATGCCGTTAGCCAAACAAATGGGAATGGTACGAAACACTTCAGGAACGTAATTGTAAGTACGGTCCACTAGAGAACAATTACATAATCGACAACAGTGGTTCCCTCTCAAAGCGTGCAAGAGACAGTTCCGCTTTTTGCGCGCAACAAACCAGAAGTACTCTGCTGCGTCACGACGGCCCGTGGCAAAATGTGACGTCCTTGTATAAACCAAAACTAGCCTCTCAGAACCCCAAACCTGAGAGGCAAAGGGGACCCGAGGGCAAAGGGGAAGAAAAGGCTGGCACAAGCAAATGCCGTGATTG